AAGTAGCGGCGCACACCAGGCCAGCCGGTGCGATCATGCGTTTTATGCAATTCCTTTCACCGAAAGATTGCCTACTAATGATTTTCACTGCTTTGCACTTTGGCCTGTGCAAAAATAGTTAATATCTGGTTCCTAAGTTGCGAAATTTCCTACTAAAAATTTCACGCAAACGAGATAATAACTTCTCCGTCAAAAGTTTCACGCGGCTGTACGTGGTACCCAGGGGTGGACGAAGGCTGAGTCCAAACTTGCGAGGTCGTACGTTTGTAAAGGAGATCATCTCAAAATTTCAGATCCTCAACTCCTGCGATCCCCGAGATAATAATTTTCCCCGCCGAAACTTTCACGGGGCCGTAGGTGGTACCCAGAAACGCGGGAACGCAGGATTTGAATAGGCAAGGCCGAGCGTGAGCAGGGGGTTATTATACTAAAATTTCATCTTTGTGTATTCAAAGGTTCCCGAGATAATAATTTACCCGCTAAAACTTTCAAGAAGCCCTAGGCAATACCTGAAAGCGTAGGGACACTGAATCTGAATGGGCAAGGCCGAGCGTGAGTAAGGGGTTATTATACTAAAATTTCAGCTTTGTATATTCAAAGGTCCTCGAGATAATAATTTGCCCGCCAAAACTTTCAAGAAGCCCTAGGTAATACCCGAAAGTGTGGGGCCACTGAATCTGATTGGGTAAGGTCGAGCGTGGGCAGGGGGTTATTACACAAAAATTTCAGTCCCGTACATTCAGTGGTTGCCGAGATAATTTACCCGCAAAAATTTTCACGGGGCCGTTCGTGTTACCCGCGAATAAAAGAAGGCTGGATTTAAATTTTCTGGGTCGCGTGTGGACAAGGAACACGCCTGCAAAATTTCAGCTTTCTAGCTCCCGTGATAATAATTTTACTCGCCAAAACTTTTATAGCGCCGTACATGTTACCCACGAACAGGGGAAAGCTGAATTTAAATTTCCTAGGTAGCATGTGGGCAGAGAACATGTCGTGGTTCCTATGATAATAACTTTCCCCGCCCAAACTTTTACGGGGTCGTACCTGTTACCCTGGATACGGAAAGGCTGAATTTAAATTTGCGGGATCACACGTGGGTGGGGAACGTTCCCCTAAATTTTTAGCTTCCTAGCTTTTCTGGTTCCCGAGTTGAAAGTTGCGGACAAGTTGCTGCGGATATACACACAAGCACACACAGACAACCCCGTGACAATATACGTTTTGTACTGCAGTTACACAGCACAAGACGCATAAAAACGTTAGTCAAATAATGCCCCTTTGTCATAAATGCAGCTCCCCTGCAAAACAGCTGCATTTACATAACTACGTCCGGTCGTTGCACCTTTGCTGCACAACCCAAGGCGGCAAAATAAGACGCGCTTCATCCGAACGACACTCAGCAACCAGGGGTAAAAGTTAAGCATATGCTAGAAACACGGAGCTAATGGCAACGGTGCCCCCCGTCCGCTGGTTGTGAAGGAAAACTGTGTCTGTAGCTGCTTAAGTCTAACCAACTGTCAGCCCAAGGGGAACATATTGGGTAAGAAGGAAAGCACCTGCCCCGTGATCCAGAACAGTTGTTTTCTACTGGCCCTTCACTTACGTGTTGATATACGCGCCGTACTGTTGTCCAGTACCAATGAATTTATTGAGAAAAGTAAGTGCACGCGACTGCGACAGTGCAACACAAAACAAGTTCGGTACAAATAGCACTGCTGATGATTTCACTGCTCCAGTGAAGCAGGTTCGCCAACTTCACAAAAAAGAAAATCACTCGGATGTCAGTAAGGTCACTACTATTCACAGTAAAAGCGATGAATGACACTGCTCATAAAAATGCACTTTTTTGGGACTGCGCTTTTCTTTAAATTGCTGCAACTAAAAGCCAAAAATTGCGGCTCAGTTTTGCTTTAAATCACCGTCAAATAAAATTCGATGAAAAACTAGAAAACAGAAGAAGTGAATCAAAAGCAGAAAATCAGTAGCAAAATCCTGAGGAAGCAACAAGCAGCCAGCCCGTCTCCGCGTCTACTGAAACAGCAACGCTTTATCTCTCAATTTTTTCAAATTTGCATTCAACCGTGCCAGGAAAAAAAAAAAAAAAAAAAAAAAACGAAATTTAAATCAGTGACGAAACAATTATGATGC